ATTCTGTCTATATGCGGCACCTGGAGTACTCAAATTCATCAAGGCTGAAAGGAGAAGAGCGGTAATTAGGTGTCTTAGTCCATTTTCTGTTCCTATAACCAAAAACCTGAGAATGAGTAATTTATAAAGAATAAGAACATCTCCATTCTGGAGGCTGGGAGATCCAAGGTCCAAGGTAAAGGAGCTGCATCTGGTGAGGGGGTTCCTTGCTAGAGGGGACTTTCCAGGGGAGTCCTAGGGAGTGAGAGGAGGCCTACAAGAGACAGAATCAAACCCACTGTTATAAAAGATTAGCTCCAAGGTGACCCGTTAACCCATTATTCCACTAATGCATGAATGGATTGATCCCACTCAACCCTCCCCTTAATACCTCTCCAGGAAATTAAATTTCAATGTGAGTTTTGGTGGAGACATTCAAACCATAGCACCAGAGGGTTGGGGGAGAGTGAGATGGGGAGTTTAATGAGCACCAAGTTTCAGGACAATGAAGACAATCTGGAGGTAAATGGTAATGAGGGCTGCAGAACAATGTGAATGTAACTGAAGCCCATTGAATTGTACACTTTAAATTGTAAATTTCATGTTACATATATTTTACCACAATAAAAAAAATTTTTTTAATGCAAAGCAATTGCTGCAACCCAGACTTAGATTTCTTTGGTGTGTTTCCTACCAGAGGTTTCTTACCAGAGCTCGGCATGCTCTTGGAGCTGAAGGTAAATGTCAGTCCAGCTAAAGTGTGTTTTCTGCTCAAACAGTAGAAGCAGACTGCCCCTTTAATGCCAGGCCCACCAAAGCAAAAGCTTTGCAGCAGGAGTGGTGAACATGCACGTCATGAAGTAAGGCCAGGGCTTGCCATGGAAATCAGCATTTATTTGAAGATTTTAGTGCTCAATTTAGCCTCACCCAGAGGTGACCTTCCACACAGGGCCAGAATATAAGTGGTTTCTTTGATGGTTCATCTGACCCCAAACTGACCTCCTGCATTTTTCAATTCATTTTAAATCAGGCTGTGCCAGCCAAAGTGATTTCAGCTTCTTAGCAAAGGTAAGTTCACATTTTTACCAACAATTCGGGGCCCATTTCAGATTGAATAGCAAGAATAAAATCTGTGCGTGCTGAGTGCTTCTGATCTGGGGCAGTCCAGAGAGAAAGTGAGGGAATGCTCAGACATGGCATGGAGGTTTGAGGAGACCGTGAGTTGGATGTGAGCTCCCACTCTTCTGGGCCATATCTGCCTTGGAGGAACATAGGTACAATTCCCAGGGTAAGGACAGTGGTTCTCTTTTCTTCAGGTCATGATCAGTGTCTTCCAGGAAAGAGTCTTGTGCACCGTTTGTGATGTTTGACTGCAAATAACACCAAACCACCCAAGTCAAACTGTCTTCAACGGTAAGGAAAATATTTCCTCTTGCAATGAATCAAGAGAGGAGGTGACTGTGGAGCTGGTAAGTCAGCAGCTCAATGTCACAGGCAAGGATCTGTGCTCTGCTCATCAGTCCCTTTCCTGGTCACAAGGCAGCTTCCACAGCTTCAGATGCCACACGTGATGGACCATGTGACAGGAGGGAATGCCTTCCACAACCACCCAACAGCCAGTACACTTCCCTCTCATGTGAATCATATCATATGCCAACACCACAATCCAGGAGCTTTCATGTTTGTTCTGTAAAAGGGCAGGCTGGCAAATACTTTTGGCTTTGAAGATACACATTTCGTCACAATCACTCAACTCTGCCAATGAAATGGGAAAGTGGTTGAAAATAATGTGCGAATCAACAAGTTTGGTTGCATTCCAATAAAACTTTATTTAGATAAACAAGTGCTGGCTCAATCCGGCCCATGGACTGTCACCTGCTCACCCTTGCTTCATACCAGCTGTCCCCAAGCACAGGACAGAGTTGACTGTGAAACAGAGCACGGAAAATTTGTTATTAATTTATAACAATAATGTCAGAGGCTTCGTCCATCTGTCAGCATCTAACAAAGATATTCAGGAGGTTCTAATTCATAACACTGGGCACAAGCTCTCCCCCAGGTGAGTCAGAGCACAGCAAAGCTGGGCACCAAAATAAATGAGAATAAATTTCCAGAGAATTTCTTATTTCCTAATGTGCAGCAAACTAGGTGCTAAGACTTGGTACTTGGTCACATCCGGTTCAACGTATTTGACAAATTTAACACTTAAGAAAACATTTAATGGTGTTGAAGGAGCACACTAATGCCTCTGAATATATAAATTCCATTGCTAATACTCTAGAAACTGTTCTCATAGATCTTTTGGGTTTCTCCTAAGTTGAGAATCAAGCTTGGAAAACCTCAGTAGTCAGTTTAGACTCCAAATTTTATACGTGAGGGAATGGAGGTTCAGAGAAGGCAAGTGACTTTTCTCAGATCACACAGTCACTCAGTGGCAGAAACAAGACCCACCCTGGCTGTGGTGCATAGGAGGGTTCAGAGGATTTGCAGCTCTTCTGAAGAGGAGGATTGTGTAACTTCCTGCAGGAACAAGTGTGATCCTCATGCCTGGGAGTCCTCCTCGCAGGTGGGGCATACAACACCTTCCATGTGCTTTTAAATTCAAGAGGCCCTGTGACTTGTTTTGCCCCTGAAATGTGAGTGAAAATGACACATATCACTTCTAGTTGTCATGTCTGTGTGCCTTCTGCCACAAGACTGGTGATGTGCCAGAGACCTCTGTGTCCTTTTAACTCACAAAGTGACAAGGACAGCACAGCCATAGCTGACCTGTGATAGACATGTCACGTGAAGAAGAGACAAGTCACTGGAACCTGGGCTCATTTGTTACTGCAGCATGACTGAGCCTATCCTGACCCACACAGTCTTCACGGCCCAGATCACCATGCTTTTTGTCACCTGTGAATCTCAGATTTCCAGCAATACTGCATGGAATTTAAGAGTGTGGTTTTACAGTCAATTTGCCTGGGTTCAAATATCATGAGTGGGGAGATCTTGATGAAGTTATTTTCTCAGATCCTCAATTTCTCCACCAAAGATGTTTGGTAATGTTTAGTTTGGTAATGTTTAGTCTGGTAATGTTTAGTCTGTTTCTGTTGCTATAACAAAACACCCTAGATAGGTAATTTATAAACAGTGAAAATATTTCGCTTATAATGCTGGAAGGTGGAAAGTAGTACTCAGTGAAGGTGTTTCTCTGTGCTCTCCCATGGTGAAAGTGGTGAAAAAATGTAGTCTCTTTTTTAAGGTGAGGGCTCTGCCTTCATGACCTTATCAACTCTCAGAGGCCCTACCTCCCAACACTATGGCACTACTGGTTACATTTCAACACATGCAGGGCTCAAACCTTCAGAACATGGCTGGTTCCTGTCCCACAAGAATGAGATAAGGATTCAGTGAACTTAGCCAGTGTTTTGAGGAGCACTGGCTAAGTGTTGGTGACTACTCTTCAACATAGCTTGTCCCTGCTGATGCTACAGGGACCAAAAGTGGTGGGGGTGCTTTGGGTGCATGGGAGGTGAGATCCCTGGGACTGTCTCATGTTCCACATTTTCTAGAACTTGCTTTTCTCTGTGTGTGACAGGCCAAGGAGAAAAGATAGCAAGTCTCCTAAAGCCCCTTCCTGTGTGCCCACAGCTGGGCTCCTCAATGAACCTGAGTTTCCGTCTCATGAACTGAGATAAGAATCGGTAGAATGATTCATGAAGAAATGCTTCTCATGGTGTTTGGCACACCACAAAGGCCCAGTGACGTCAGAAAGGATAGCACTACTCTCTCCAGCCAGGACCAGTCAGGGAGCATGGGCAGAAAAGGAGCCACAAGAGATGACTCATCTCTCAGGCAGCCAAAGGAGCAACTGGAAGGGGTCTTAGTGGCCCACCTTGTCCTCATGGAAATACCATCTTGAACCACAGACTGATGGTCTGTCTCACGTCAAGTAGGTAGAAAACCAAGCACCCCCTGCCTCAGCACCACTACACAGCTAGCACAGACTCCTGTGGCTGGCAGGGGCTGCCAGGTCTTGTTGCTACATCAGGAGAGTCCCTGGATATGCACCCAAGTGATGTCTACTCTCAGCTGCTCCAGGATCTGTGGCCATGGATTTCATGACCTCAGATCAGGATTACATACGATGGGGGAAAGTGCAGACCACATCAACACACACTGCGTCTCTTCACAGGATCCACACTTGGCATGGAGCTGCCCGTGGAAGGAGTCCCTTCATTCTCGTCCTTCTGAGAGCACACCCCCTGCAGATGGCAGAATCAAGGCCCAGCCACTTGAGCATGACCAGGGAGGGGCTCGACTTGGGGCCAGTGCAAGGGCTTACCTGTGGTCAGCAGACCCCTGCCCACGGCCTGCCCGGAGGTGAGCTGCAGAACGATTCACTGGAAGTAAACCCTAGAAACCCAGCCCTGGAGACGCTGGCTGTGACTGCGAGCTCACCAGCTGCTACCATGTGCTTGCCACAAACTCTGTTGTGCCAAGCCCTGACTTCTTCCTCTGCATTTGCTGGGCTGGGTAGAGTGTGTAACTAAGACTCAGAGGGGACAGGAGCGGGGAGCATTAAGATGAAGCTCTGCCCTCCGCACTGGGCTGGAAAGCATGTGCAAGAAACCCTTCATAGAGCCTGGAACGTGAAGAATGAAAACCAGACAGAACTGTGGGTGCCCTGCCTCCGCCAGCAAAGTCTGCACAAAAGCTCCATGGACCTTATGTTGTGTTTTGTTTTTCCCAAAAGTCATCATGAGTTAGCAGCTTGCACTCCTGGGTTACTGGTAATATGCCTTTCTGCATATTCCTTGAGATTGGAAAGACTTATTTTGTGAAGGATTGTGTAGTTTTATTAATGAGTCAAGGGAGAAGGCAATGAGCATCTATGAAAAGAAATAGTGCAGAAATAGGAATGGCTCCAGTCAAATAATTGCAAGGCAGCGTTTTAGGACAGTTTAATTTCCTATTGTACTTTAATGACCAATAAAGAAGATATAAAAATGTTATTTATAGAGAAACTCCAAGCATTTTTTTTCCTGGTTATTTTAATAGATCAATGGGAACATACAATATGATTTAAAAAAAATTTTTTCCCAAACACTATAATCAATCTTTCATGCTACAGATCTGTGTACTCACTGCTAGTCCCATTGTCAAGAGAGAAGTGAATAGAAGTTAACAGAAAGAAAGCTCTGCTCTTCCCCTTCTGACAAGCACCTCTGCTAACTCCATCCCAGGTATCTTCCCATGCTTTGCTTTGACTCCTCTTTAACAGAGGGTTACAATGTTTCCATTTGCAGGTGGTGTTAGAGGGGACACAGGAGAATCTTGGGGGTTCTAGGAGGTGAGGGGGCACAGCCTCAGCCCCAGCTTTGCCCGTTTCGTGGGTGAGAGGGCCATGGCTAGACTGCTGCTGAGATGACAGCTTCTCCCCTCATATTACTCCCCTCACCTCTTCCCTCCTCCCTTCCCTTTTCCCCTCTCTGCTTCCTCTTCCTCCTCCTCCTTTTCTTCTTCTTTCTCTGCTCAATCAGCCACAAGGACCTTTACAATCCGACTTCTGCTGCTAGTAACATTGCAAAGGCAGAATCTGGGTTCTCGGCGAGGACTTCAGGTTTGTCGAACTCAATCACCTGAAAGTCAGAGAAGAATGGAAGCTTGCAGAACAGACCCACTGGCCTGCAGCCCAGAACTCTCCTGCCCTTGGGAGGTGACGCCAGCGGGAGCCCTGCACCTTCCCACTCTCCATGACCAGGACGCGGTCGCAGTTGAGAACTGTGTTCAGGCGGTGGGCGATGGTCTGCACTGTGCAGCCTCGGAAGGCATCCTTGAGGGCGCTCTGGACAAGGGCATCCATCTTGGAGTCCATGGAGGCAGTGGCTTCATCAAGGAGAATGATCTGTTAGAGAGGAACATGGTAAAAATGACACAAAGCCAAAGCGATGCCAAGGGGGACATTTATAGTCTCAGCTCTGCTTCTTAAGTAGAAAAAGAAAAGCTGAAAAGCAATGAGCTAAGTCACCCATCCTCAAAAGTTAGAAAACAGAATAATAAAACAAAAGTCAAAGCACACTACCTCCTCCCTCCTTGGAGGGCTTCCCGGAGGAACTAAGTTGTATCTTTACTCTTCTTTTTCAAGTACTTTATTCTAACCATGCAAACAAGTAGGAAGGAATGCTGCATGGGCTTTCTGTGCTAGGATGAGCCAGCATGTGGTATAAAAGCAGCACTCAGCTCATTTGCTACTGCTGTGGTAACAAACTATCACAAACTTACAGGCGTAAAACAGCACAGATGTATCATCCTACAGTTCTAGAAACCAAGACATTGTCAGAAGTCAAGTCATCATCTGGAAATCAAGACATCATCAGGGTTGCACCATCACTGTCTGCCTTTGCAAGCATGGAGAGGCCACCTCCAGTCCTTGGTCCCTTCCCACCATCAAGTCTCCATCTCTTAGTCCCTCCTGCTTGCTTCTTACACAGACACATGGGATCCAGAAGGCCCACCAGGACCCAGCAGAACCTTCCCATCTCAAGATCCTTAACTTCATCACATCTGCCAAGTCTCTTTTTCCATGTGGGGGACAGATCCACAGATTCTGGCTATCACAGCATGGACATGTTGGGATGGGCAGCGTTATTCTGCCCACCACAGCATTGATTTGATTGTACCAATTAAAGGGCTTAAACTCAGCCCCTAACTCTGCTTGACCTTGGCCAAGATTCTTAACTTCCCCGAGGTGACTCCTTAGGACAGGCACAGTGTGAAGAGACTCACAACCACTTAGCAGTATGCAGAGCCACAGGAGGCACCAAATTCTTCTTGCTTCCCTTTCCCCACAAGGTCTTGGGAAAATGGGATCACTGAAACAACAGCATCTTCTTCCTCTAACCCAGTTTGTGAGGCAGGCTAGGTTGGTCTCAGCTGGACAGATCTTACATGCTCGCATTCTGGTGGCCTTCTAGGGTGTCCTGGGTACTGTTTCTGAGGACTCAGAATTATTGAGGGACAAAGAGAAAAAGTTGAGAGGCAGATCTCTCAAACTCACAGTACCAAGCAGAACAGAGAGATACCTAAGGAAGACCTCCCAGGAAGAAGCCCAGGATGGGGGATGCTGTTGCTGGAAGTGGCTGTTATTTTTCAATTTTTACCCCCTCACAACTTTGTCTTGAGAAACAAGGATTGGTTTTTAAATGACTCAATTACTCTGTCTTTGCTGAAAGACAAATGCGTGGTTCTGCCTCCTGGGTTGAGAGGCACTGCAGGGAATATCCAAAATTTGACCAATCCATTTTCTGTTCTGTTTCCTCACTTTTGAATTACAGAGAAGTGCTCGGGCCATACAAAGCAGCTGACGTTCTCCTACTGAGAAGTTTTCCCCATTTTCTGTGACTTCTGCCTGTGATTTTTCCGGGAGTTTCATTATCTATAAAACAGAGAAAATGCCACATTTATGTTGATGATCTATAAAATTGTCCTGCATCGTCTATATTGATTGTCCCCTTCTCTTGCATTCATCAGCCTGCTTTATTTTACTGTGGAAAAGAAAGTCCAAAACAACAATCATTTCAATATTGCAAACAGGCACCAGGGAAAGACTAGGGAGTAGGTGGACATTAATAATTTAAAATTACAGCATGACTCATAGAACCCCATAGACAGCTCACCAAAAGAGCACAAACGATGCCCACACTGTTCCAGGAAACACACAAACAAATGCAAATGACTTTCAGGGTTCCTATTTCCATGGACAAAATAAAGATGAGCTGGGAGTTTCCTGGGGAGGGTAAAGTGAGTCTGACTTAGCCAGTGTGACAAGCTGAAGTGGCTTTGGGAGGCACTGGCCTTGGCAGCTTGGGGCTGCAGAGGTGGTCCTGCACACCTGCTGTCCCCAGTTGAGGCTGCAGGTGTAACAGGACAGGGCCCCATGTTACAGATGGCTCAGTCCCCTCAAACCAGCCACACCTGCCAATTCCAGAACACGCACAGCCCCTCGTCCTTCTGAGGCTCATCAGTTCTGATAAGCAAAGGTGCAGAGTAGAAGAGGGCACCCTCTGGGCTCTAGAATTAGAGGCATCTGGGTTCAAGTCTCCATTCTGCCAGCCTGAACACATTGCAATCCTTGAACTGTAATTTCTGCATCTCTAAAATGAGGGGTAGGAGTACTGACCTCAAGGTTGTCATGAGGACCATGTGAGATAATGCACAAAGAGCTCATGGCTGGGTCATCGCAGCATCCAAATAAATAGGACCTGCAGTTGCTTTTTTATAATACGGAGTAAAGTAAGGACCACGTGCTACAGATGTATATTACTGAAGTATGTGTTATCTATAAATAAACCTGGCCACATGCTGGCCCAGGTCTTGGTCAAATTTAAACCTGAGCCAGGTTTCTGGGTCACTGTGCTGGGAAAAGTAGTTGTTCTGACAGCCCCAGAGACTTACTGTGTCTTTCATGAATGTCCTCTCCAGAACCTCCCAGAGTGACTTGTCGGTGTGACTCTCAAAGGGATCCAAGTTGTACCTGCAGTGAAAGAAAGGAGAGGGAGCTGGACTTTGGGGTGAGAGGCTGGAGGAAGGGGCTGCAGGCTGAGGAATACAGTCGGCTCCCAAAAACCAGAAAAGGCAGGGTGACAGTTTCTCCCCTGCAGCCCACAGAGGAGAAAAGGGTGCAATGCAAGGAGCTGGGGCTCTAAGAGCCATGCTCAGCCCAGGCCAAGAGACCAAGGATGCACAGCACAGGAACGGAGCAGATACCACCAGGGAAAGGGAAAAGTGAGACCCCCACGGAGAGGTGACACCAAGGTGGGCACTCAGAAAGACAGTCAGGCCTCTCCAGGGCCTCTGCATGTCATCAGGGACTCAGCAGGAGGGCTGGCTCCTTGCTGGACCACCTGAGAAGCTTTGGGTCCCTTGTGCTTTGGCATCAGAACTTATACCCATAAAACAGCTTCCGTTCAGTCTTTAGGAGTGAATAATGCACTTCCTGAGATGGCTGCGGATGTAGGGGAACCACTTGTTCTTTTGGGCCAGCACACAGGCATAAAATAGGGCTATATAGGGCCAACCAGGAGGTCTGCATATTGCTTATTAATAATGTAATTTCTAAAATACCAGTAAGCTCAAGGCCCTATTACCTAGTTCCTCCCAAGGCTTCACTCAAACACAGACACTAGCAGCACTTTTGAGCCCCTAGGGACCCTGCTTCCCTGAGACAGGACAGCCCCAGGTGAGCCATGTCTCGGGGACTTGGCCCCTAGTCTAATTTAACTATCCAAAAATAAGAATGCATGATGATCAAAAACAGTTACCTTACTGTACCTACAAACAGGACGGGATCCTGGGGGATCACAGTGAGCTTGGTGCGGAGGTCTTCCAAACCGATGGTGCCGCTATCTACCTCGTCAATGAAGATGGTTCCGCTGGCCGGCTCTGCCAGGCGGAACAAGGCCATTCCTAGCGATGACTTCCCTGGGAACAGTGAAAACAGGAACAACAAATCAAACATCAGTTGGTACTGCCATCATATTCAAGCATTTAATTAAGGGAATTTTTAATGCAATGAAATGGCTCTGTGCGGATGGCTATGCTAGCAAATCCCTCGCTCTGGGGCCCTGGGCTGCCCTGCCACACTTAACCTGCCTGTCCCTGTAGGGGTCTTTAGCTCACAATTTGTCCTCTGGGCCTCATCTCACCAGAAGGATTCTCATTTAATTAATTCAAAAACTGATGTGCATTTGCTTCCAACTCTACACACCCATTCAACCTGAAATCCTAATTTACAGTAAAGAGATTTGAGGGGAAATAACAGTCAAACCAATGCACATATGCATCACTCTCTGGTGTGGCGTAACCGGCACATTCCTTGGAAACTCAAAGCAAACAACCCACAAGAAAGAAAAGCAGAGCTGTCCTCACCAGAACCCGTTCTTCCAACAATCCCAACAGTCTACCCACTTTGTATGTTTAAGTTCAGCCCCTTGAGCACGAGTGGAGTGTTTTCTCTGTATCTCATGTGATAGTCCCGGAAGGTTATCTCCCCACAGCTAGGCCAGCCCTTAGGACAGGTCTCCACTTTGAGGGGATGAATGCATTCAGGAATACAGGCCTGAAAAGCACAGAAACCAATGATAGGTTAATAGCCGCTGTTTTTTCATTCATTTAACTCATGCATTCACACAGATCTAGGCCCTGGAGTTCAGGGTGGGGAACCAGACCAATTAGAACACTCCACCCAAGACACTCACATTCCAGTGAGGATATCAGGTAATAAACAAGAAAAAATTAGAAATGCAGGCAATAAAACAGAGTAGTGTAACAGAATGCAGACTGACGTGTATGGTGGGCAGGGCAAAGAGAGTGAGTAACATTTCTTGAGGGTTGAAGAAGGTATCTGTGAGCAGTGCCATTGGACTGGAGACCTGGAATGCTGCAGAGATGACAGCTACAGGGGACTGGAACTCACAGCAGATAGTGTGTGCAAAGGCCCTTGGCAACTTAAGGAATAGAGAAAGAGTCACGTGCCTGAAGCTTAGTGAACAAAGGGTGGATGGCATTGAGGAATAAGCAAGGGACAGTTCACACTGGACCTTGCAGCAGGGCAAATGTCAGCAGCATGATCTCATAGCTGTGTAATGTTATTTTAATATCTGTAAGAGTCACCATGGTGATAGAAATAGCAAGATGACAAGAAAGGAGAATGTCAAGCTCAGAAGTTTTGGTGTTAAAGGGAAAAGACATTTAAGTTTTCTTCCTAAGAGTCCAATAAGTGCCAACTCTAATTAAGAAGTAGAGCATATTAGCTTCATTACAACACCAGCCAATCCTCTTCAGTTACGAAATCCCTATTAACAAGGAGAAATAGGGATCCCTGGGGCCCTATTAGGATGACCAACTGGCCCAAATCTCTGCTCAATAAACAACCTCAGTTAGCTGAAGAAAGTCCATTCTCAGAGAGTATTTTTAACTCCTAGGAGATTTACAATTAAAAACCAAACAAAAAAAATTTCAGAGAAGCAATACTATAACAGCAATATTTTTAGTTTAAAGAATCCGCATACTTTGTCTTTTAAGTGTAATATTGATAGAATTTGGGCTGGTGATTCTAATTTAAAATATATAATTGAATCACTGATTTAAACATGATTTTAAGTTAAAAGCTTATGGTTTATACTGTATATAGCACTGGAACTACCATGAGAATTTAAAGCTCACTATATTTACAAGTTTAATTTATTAGATTTATACAAACTCAGGAAGGTTTGTTTGCTAAATCAGATCATTGAGGCACTTAAAAAGGAAATTGAATGGATTAAATTTTAAAATGCAGTTTCAAATGTTCAAGTGTCTAATTATATTTGTAAGTGGGCCAGACACTATTCAGAGACCCTTAAAAAGTGGCTGCTACGATCGGTTAGACTTCTATCCAAAAGAATAACACCATTTGCAATTTGAATAGAAAAGCTTTTAAAGAAGAGTCATTGTTTTGGGTTTTTTCAGTTTATAAATTCAATCAAATATTAAATTTCAGGAACCCAAGCAAGCCACCAGATTGTCTTTTCTGCCTATACAAACAGCTTGCCTATGAGGAATTTTATTTTTTTAGGAAAAGAAAAAGAAAAAACCTTACATTCAGCATCAAGGACTTAAGATCATATTTAAAATATGAGTTTTAAGAAGAGGGGCAGCCTGTTAGATTTGGGGTTTTTTCCATGTGATCCCTGTCACATGGAAAAAGATCAAATACTTGCCCAGGTCCTATATGAGTGAACTCGTCCCTCCTCTTTCATGATCTCATTTCTTACCAAAATATACTCTCTTAGCAGTTCCACAGAGGTGAGCTTGGCCTGAGTCTCCGTTCCTGTTTGCACACACACTTGGAGCAGTCCGCTCAGCTATGGAGAAGGAACAAGCGGCCATGGTTAGAGCCCTTTCTCTTCTCAGTTATGCTGGTCCACCTTGGGGGCAGGGGGGGAAACCCTTGTGAATTTTTGCTTCCCAACCTAACTCAGGACCCTCCACAAAGGAAGCTTGCATTCCCATTCAGGCACCAGAAGTAAGATATTCCTGTTGCCATGTTTTGCAGTTAAACACTTCCTTTGTATTTAGAAACAAATGGTAATTACAGTCTCCCTGGTACTCCAGATGACAAGCACCCCCACCCCCACCACCACCCCTGCCACCACCACTGCACCACTTGATCACTGCCTCTGCCTGAGCAGTGCGGACGGACTGCTGTCCAAGTGAGAGTGGGAATTCTCCCGAAGCAGAACTTCCGGTGTTACCTCCTTGCCTTGCCCTCCCTACTCTACCCCACCTCCAGCCAAGAAGTCACTGAAAACTCGACCACTACAAAAGACTACAACAAAACCATCAAGCCCATCTGTTTGCTTTAGCAAGAGAAAACCAAGGTTCAGACTGGGGGAGATGGCTTGCTTCAGGGGCCCACTTTAAACCAGGAATCCACCACCTCCCCCCACCTCAACCCCAAGGTTTGAGCTCAAGCAATATCTCAGGGAAGGTTCGATGATGCCCTCTCCCCCATCTGCAAAAGTTATGTCCATATCTTAATTCCTGGAATTTGAGAAGTGCACCTCATTTGGACAAAGCATCTTTGCAAGTATAATTAAGAATCTCAGGATCATTCTAGGTTACCTGGATGGGCCCTAAATTCAATGACAGATCCCCATAAAAGACAGAGGAGATGGTACAGAGCAGAGAAGAAGGTATAGAACTGGAGGGATGCAGCTTCAAGGCAAGGAACTCCAATCGCCTCTGGAGGGACCAGGAAAAGTCTCCTCAAAGCCTCAGAGGGACATGCCCCTGCCAACACCTTGTGTGCAAATTTCTGACTTCAAAACTGTAAGAGAACAAATTTCTCATTTCAAGGCACCAAGCTTGTGGTAATTTGTTACAACAGCCTTGGCAAAATTATGTAGATGGTGAACCCAGAAAGTAAGGAAGGGATGGGAAAAATAAGAGACAAAAGAGAAGGCCGACAATTAAGGGTGTGTTCATGAGAGATTAGCACCTCAGACAATTGCTATTCAGTCCTGCTAGGGAGTCCAGGAGATGGGTGGTGTCTCACCTCAGAGTTGACCCTCGCCAGGCAAGGAGGCTGAGGTATGCACATCATCCCTCAGTGTCCTTGGGGGACTGGTTCCTTGATACCCACCACCACAACCACCACCACCACCAACAACAACAACAACAACGACACCACTACCACCCATGCAGACACCAAGATCCACAGGTACTCAAGACTCTGATATGAAACAGCACAGTATTTGCATGGAACCTATATACATGCTCCTGTATACTTTAAATCATCTCTAGACTACTGATAATATCTAATGCAATGTAAATGCTATGTAAATAGTTGTTATACCATATTTAGGGAATAATGACAGAAAAAAAGTCTATACATGTTTAGCACAGACTCAATTTATTTCCTGAATACAGTACTTGCAATTCTCTGCAGTTGGTTGAATCTGTGGATGCAGAACTGATGGATCCCAAGTACTGACTGCATCCACTACTTCCCTTCAGGCATTGCTGAGGCTGCTCCTGGGTGAGACATGCCCTTCCCACCCCTCTAGCCTACCCTGAGCTCAGACGGGGCCCAGCAGCCCTTCACTGGACAGGTGCGCCAACAACATCTACCTTGATGGGCTACAGGCAGGAACTGTCTTCTGAGGACAACATCATTTACTGAGCAGTGGTGATGGTACTGGTCAGGCTCGGGGTTTCTAAGGTTGAATGTGATAAAGAAGACCTCACATTTATGGGGCTCACATTCTAGTGGACTGGCAGTGTGATGCACAAAGTCATCTCAGACGTGAAAGAAGGTGGATACACCAGGATGGTATGGGACAGTGGGAGAGGCTGGAAGTAAACACAGTGAGCTGAGGCATTTGTGACAAGAAGTTCACAGGCCAACTCTGGGTGAGAAAGCACAGGGGCAAGTAGCAAGTGGCTTTCACTCCAAGAAGTCTGGGGCCCAGCAGGTGAATAAGGAGGGAGTGGAGAGGTCCCAGACCTCAGACAGCCCCCTGAGCAGCCTTGCCACCTCACTGCTGAACACAGATCTGGGTTCCCCATTTCTCTTCAAGCAATTGCTCTCAGCCTGCGTGCGAGCCCTCCACAGACGTTTGGCAATGTCTAGAGTTATTACAACCTGTGAGGAGGAAGGCAGTTAATACTGGTTTCTGGTGGGCAGAGGCCAGGGAGGCTGCCAAACATCCTATTGTAGATAGAGCAGCTGCTATGGTTTACATCTAAGATGTGTTTCCAAAGTCTTATATATGCAAAAGTGGGGCTTTGGAAGATGATTGCATCCTGGGGCATTGTACTTATCATTGGATTAATCCATTGATGAGTTCATAGCTGAATGTGCTATTAGGAGGTGGGGCCCAGTTGCAGGTGTCACTGGGGTGTGATCTGGAAGGATTTTTTCTTTTATTCCATTCCTTTCTCTGTATTTGCTTCTTGACTGCCATGGATTGAGCAGCTTTCTTCCACCGTGCTCTCCCACTATGCCATTTCTGGCTTAGAGCCAGTGGACCATGGACTAACCTCTCTGAAACCATGAGCCAAATAAACTCCTCTTCCTTTAAATTTTGGACTTTGGATATTTTGTCCCAACAATGAGAAAGTGACTAATACAACAGCCCCTCACAGAAAGGATTATCCAGCCCAAATGTATCTTAGAATATAGAAAATTCCCTGCCTTCAGCTTCCAAAGCTCCATAGACCTTGTTTTCTACCATTTTCTTCAAGCCACTGAAGACTCTCAGACCCTCAAACACACCAGGCTCACACCTATCTTCAGGTTTTCTCAGGTCCTTCTGCCTGAAGCACTCTTGCTCCAGTATCCCTTAACTGTTCCTTCATTGTTCAGGAGTCATCTTGAACATCACCTCCCAGCAGGACTCCTCTGATTATAGGTGTAATGTGGCCTTCCCTTCTGATAGTCCCAGGACTACCTTCACACCACTGAAGTACTATCTGAGGCCTTCTCATTTATTTATTTATTTATCACCTTATTTATTCCAGCTGCCTAGTAGAATGTAAGCTCCAAAAAGGCAGGATGAGTCCAGATTGTTCACTGCTAAATCTACAATGATTACTGCTATTTCTGACTCATTTAGCTGCTCAGTGGATAGCTAAGGCTGAGCCCTGCCTTTGGGAAGGACGTAGATGTATTTTGTTAAAAACAAGAATATCAGAGTCAGATGTGCTGGCACACACCTGTAATCCTAGCACTTGGGAGGCTAAGGCAGGAAGATCATTGTGAGTTTGAGGTCATCCTGAACTATATAGTGAGCTCAAGGCCATCCTAAACTACATGGTGAGACCTTGTATCAAAAAAAAAAAAAAAGATATGACTGTCAGGTCCTAAGGCCTGGCAGCCCACCCAGGGTTAAAATTCCCACATGGCCATGGCCATAGTAAGTACTTATTCTCCTCTTCTCTATTATATGATATTACTTTGCATTTGCTCCCTATTCTGGCATTTCACACCAATTGCTCATCCATCGAGGGAGCCTCTATTCCCATGGGAAGCATTTTGATTCTGTGTTCTCCAAAGGGGACTAATGCTAAAAAAAAAAAAAAAAAAAAAAAAAAAAGCCACCAAGCCAGCTGGAGAGGAAATGCTCCTATAGACCCCAAGTGTACAAATTCTCTTCGACCCTATGGGAATGTTTGGAAATGACCTCATGGAAAGCTGATGATAGTGCCCCTAAGCATGACCTTAGCTGGGGAAAGCTGTTTAACTTGGACCAATTAAGAGAAACCATTCAATATCATCTGTTTTATATTTTACTAAGCAACAACAAATGAAAACATCTGTCAATGAGGAAAATGGGCTACTAAGGGAAATTCATCTTTCCAAAACTCAGATAGAGGACTGAGAATGTATTCTTATTACCCATCCCCAATTCCCGTCAAATGATATCAGATCAATTTCCCCAAAAGAATAGAGCTTAAACAGCAAGGGGATGGGAAGAGGTATCATTGAATGATATGGTTACACATTTCTGCAAGATAAGAAGAGGATGAGCACCTTTTGAGAAAACGGCAGCAGAATGTGCCACCAGGTTTAAAGAGTCTCCACCTAGCAGAACCCAGAGAGGCCCAGAGGTGAGGAGGGGCCCACAAAGGTCTGGCCCCTCAATAGTCTGTCTGCAGGCAGATACTTCTGCTGGATGCACTTATTCATCTCCCTCTTCTTTGTCCTAATCAGAAGTCATTTGACACTTTGTCCCAAGGCATGTGGTGCATGCCCATGTATACATACTTTTCTTTAAAGAAAATACATTAACTACCTGGGGAGAAGTGGAGCTCATTTAAATCTAGGCTTTGGTACCTAATAGTCAGCTGCTCAGCTGCTTTCCCAGTGAAGCCTGCCCTTGGAAATGCCCCACTACCCAGCCCACCCATAATTGGGGACTTCCTATCAGAGGAGAGACCTAGTACATAAAAGGCAGGGTAACCCTGGAAATGCAACCCAATTTCCATTATTAAAGGCAAATGAGGCAGGAGACAAGTGAACAAAGCTAGTGGCATGAAAGTGCAGGAACTGGATAATCAAAAAGTAAAAGTGACCTAGAGAAAACAGATACAAGCCAAAGAAGAAAGGAGAGGTTAAGAGGGGTTCTAATGAATTAGAACTCTAATTAATATCCAGAGAGAAATTCAAAAGCATTTCTTTCATTTGAAAAATGATTCTTTTTAGAAATGAAAGAATAAGAGCATTTGGAAATTAAATATATGAATATGTGATTGTCGAAGTTAAAATCAAAAAGAATGACGGACAAAGCAAAGGAAAATTCCCAGGACAAATTTTACAATAAAGCTAAAGAAACACAGAAGACTGGCACGAGAATTACAATGTGCAACCACTGAGTCACAGCAGGAAAACAGAAAAGGAGGAAATTATCAAAATGAAGTGGGAACAAGAGGTATTTTTCTGAGTTAAAGAGCAATTTGACTTTAAAAGAACTCATAGCACGGAGCAGAATATATATATTTTAAAGATTCACATTCAGATGCATTGTTCTGGAATCACAAAGTGCAAAGGGTAAGAACTGTATTGGGAAGGCTTCCAAAGTGGAAATTAAAACTTCATGTAGTTTTTATATGTTGTAAAATTTCTTCAAATAAATCTCTCCTAGATCCATAGCAAAAGAAACTCAAAAAATTTCATAAACAC